TTATCTGCTATGACTCATTTTCCTTTCAGCTTTTGTAATTTACTCATTTTTGTCGTTGTGCTATGAATATCTTGGTGGAGAAAGTAATATCATGGCGGAAATCAGAGGCAAACCGATCAAGTAAGTGAGAATCCTTTGAAGTTCGTTACTATATCTTTATTGGGTGTTTTTTTTTCTAGACCAACGAACTACTACACATGTACCTGCTGTCTTGCTGGAAAGCAGTATACAATCGAATTCCTGCGCTTTTGTAAACAGGTACGTATCCAATCACGGCGAGACTAATCGTGGACGATTGTCTTTTGATAGGTGTATAAATTCTTGTAGAATTTACATCAATATCAAATTGTAGGCTACGCTTCAATTCTGTTTCATCAAACCAGTCATGGCAGTAATCACCTTGTTTTTGGTGGGAATGGGAAAGTATGAAGATGGAAACTGGAGGTAAGCAGCATTTTATTTTTCGGGATTTTTATTTCTAAAAAGATATTCGGACCTTTCTGTAAAAATGCTTTGGCAGAGGCACGTAAACAAGCTACTATTCGGAGGGACTGAGTTTGATCATCGGTTCATTGTTATTTTGTGATGGCGAATATGATATTGCTTTTGATAATACTGATTGGTTTTATTGTTTTTTCCTCCGAATCTTTACACTTTTCAGTCTATTGTGCTGATAAGTTGTGTACAGGGGTAGGCTGACATGCCGATTACTAGTTTGAGGAAGAATCGATCAGTTTCATCGACCTTCTGATTTTTTGACGAGTTTGAATTTGATTAGCTGGAAATCGATAGAACTCCAATTGGATAGCGGCTGCTTTTGCTTGCTTCCTAATTTTTTCGATATTAATTTTTTGAGTTTGCTATGCAGCTTCATATTAAATTTGCACAAAATCCAATAAGTACCAAGTAAAGCCCTTTGATGTCAAACTTCTGAAGCAGCCGGCTGCGCCGAATACTTTAGCTAGTGATGATGAATGAGATTGCGAATATGATATATTTGATGAAAATTGAATTACGGAAATGTGCACAACAGCGAGCATGTGAATCTTTGAAGAAGGCCTCTTTTTAAGTCAAATGCTTTATTTTTTTGAGGTGCTTGTTTTTGAGTGTTGACAATGTAATATGCTTTGAATCTTTCAGTGCCGATCAGGGCTATCTGTACATCACGCTGGTGTACAACGTTTCGATTTCTCTTGCCCTTTACGGACTTTTCCTTTTCTACACAGCAACTCGTGAACTACTCAGCCCCTACAGCCCCGTACTGAAGTTCTTGACGGTCAAGAGCGTGATTTTCCTGTCGTTTTGGCAAGGCAAGTTTTTTGAATGCCATGATTTTTACGACCTCGACAATATCCTGGAACAGCGCTAAGCAGACGTTTAATGTGCTTATTTTATCTATAGGTTTTCTCATTGCTATCTTGGGTGCTACTTCTGCTATCGATCCTGTTGTGGATTCTAACGGAAATGTCGTCATCAATAAAGGTAGCGCTGTTTCGCTAATGAAAGCTCTACCTAACTAATATCTAGTTGCATTCTCTTCAAGGGACTGTCGCCGCTGGTTATCAGAATTTTCTCATCTGCATCGAGATGTTTTTCGCCGCGATCGCTCTCAAATTTGCATTTGGCGTATCTGCCTATGCGGATGCACATTCGGGTAATGTTTGCTTGGTATTTTTTTTTGCTTACGTGAATAGTGAAGTTTTGAGTATTTGCCATTTTCATATCAAATAAATGCCAGCGTAATATAATGTGGAGAACTTGTTGTCGGCAGTGAAAAATGCTCAGATAAAACCTTGTTTTCATACCTGTTCCTGCATCAAAAATTTTTTTTTGCAACGGTATCTGATAGACTCTTTTGAAATTTTTGATCTCCAATCTTCAAGTTGCCGACTTAATGTACTTATGTCAGCATGCTGAGCAGGAGAATGACAACCTTTGTCGCATTTACGGACGTGTTGAGTTTTCAAACCAGGAAGTCCTGGAAGTAAATGTCATTCTTGCAAAATAAAAATTGGCATGGAAATCTTGAACTGACAGAGTTTAGCCGGGTATCCACCATTTGTAGTTGACCAACATCTATCATCTTATTTCCAGTCAACCATTCGAACGATGGACGTCCAGTCACACTGCAGTCCATTAGTTCTTCTTTGAAGGAAACCATGAATCCTAAAGATATCATGCAAGATGCCATACATAACTTCCATCCTCAATACCAACAGTATACCCAGGTATGGTTGGCGTTTTACGGTTTTTTTATTGTTTAGGATAATAACTTCTATTTCTCTCCGTTCGGGAATTTCAAAAACTGAAGGGTTGAAGTTTAGTATCCACTAACTGAAAGAATCATCCAAATCTGGAACATTTATAATGGCTATCATGAATCTTGACACTAGTTTAACTCGAGATTGTGTCGGAGTTTACGTTGCTTTACGTAACGTGTTGCTGTGTTTAATGTCACAGTACCAAATTCGAATGCTATTGAGTCCTAAATCGTTTAGCCACCTTCAGTTAAGGTCCTGGAAGTTTGGGAATTTGAGAGTTTCCCCCTTTTCCAGGGTTGGGTGTGAAAGATTAGTGACAAGTGACAGTGAAAACTCTATTTTGTAGTATGTGCTTATGCTATGATTGATTTGTTATAAGGGATCTTGGAGCTCCAGTCAGCTATATAAAAAGAAGATTGTTATCTAGAAGATTATTAATCTTTTTAGATTAGTGTCTTAATGCTTGATCACATGAAACATCCATGTGATAACCTGATTTTATCGCGTAGATGGGAGATGCAGTTCTCATTTTTGCATTCACATAAAATGCTTCTAAAC